GTTTATATTTCTTTTTAAATTGTCCTTAAAATTCTCCTCAAAATCCTCATACAATTCTCTTCAGAATCAACTAGGAATTCTCCTTGAAGTTCTCCTCACAACTCCCTTGTAATTCTTCTAAGAGGAGTTCGCCAGGAGTTAATCCTAGAATTAGTTTGGGATTCTTGTCAGAATTGTTGAATTTTCAAAATTCTATAAAAAAAATCTGCAAATTGTTAGACCTCTGAACATTTTCAAGCAAACAAAATTTTCCAGGGGCTGTAAATCCAATCCTGTTTTTTCTTCTAAACCTAGGATAGATTTTCATAAGTCACACATTTCTAAAAAATGGCATATTCTAAGACTCCTAACCACAAGTCAAAGCATCAGAATCTTCGAAATTAAAATTGTTCTCAAGATTAAATTTCTTTTTAAGATTTATATTCGTACAGATCAGGATACTTAAAAAATGTCTTGCGCCGTAGGGTAGAGAACTACTTCGGCCTAATCGCCCATTTTGGGCCTATCGAGCAGAAAATTTCAAATATATCCATGATTTCAGAGTTAACAAGTCAATTATGGATTTGGTACGATACTTTAGTTAATAAGCTACGGAACGAAGTCAATGAGAACGCATTATATGAAGGTTTGCACCCATTATTCCCAAAAACAAAAGAAGCGCTCCGACCGAATCAATTTTTATCTTCATCCGATAGGCCGAAGTGAATTCATTGGCGTTTCAATGCGTTAGGCCGAGTTTGGCTAGAAGCAGTGTTAGACTTTTGACAATATTTCAACGATTGGTTTCGCTTTATAAAATCTTACAGTACATACGGAAAGGTAAATAAATTTGGAAGCCATCAGTAATAATAACATCAGGAATAATAACAACTGCGCTAGATTAAGAAAGATTAAGTGCGGGTTGTGCTTAATAGGCCGGAAATGGGGTATTTAACCCTATCAAGTTCAAGATTTTTTAATTCAATTTCTTAATTTTATCTCTCCCTCTAAACTTCGGTATAATGACCTATTCAGCCCGATAGCGTTCGGCTAGGCGACCTTAAAAAATCCATCATTCTGGTACTTTGTACATTCTGGCGCTTTACAATCACTTTACAATCAAGGACTGTCAAAAAAAAGTTATTCAAACTGATTCTAAGTACCTCGCAAATAACTTTATACAATCACTATTTTTTTTTACTAAATATTAAAAACCGGGAATGTTCTGAGATTTGAACCGGGAAAAAAACCGGGAATTTTAAAATCAAAATTCGCTGGCCACCCTGATTTTGGAATCTTGTAAATGTTTTCCAAATGGCGTCTTGGTGTAGCACAAAATCGTCACTTTTGATCGTATAACGTATAAACAAAGTTGCCTAGAAGTCGTTCTGGGAAAAAATATATACGGTAATTTTTTAGTAATTTTGAGTAAAACAAATTGACTGGAATATCTTCAAAAGTATATTTTCAATGTGTATATTTTTTTTATTGCAACACACAATTATGCAAAGTTTCATGCAAATCGGAAAAGGTCCAGTTTATGGTTTATGGTCCCTTTTTATTTCGCATTTTGCATCTACTTGACTCTTGGCTGACAGTAATTCTTCAGATTTTTTCCACGGGCTACGAAAAATAAATTTTTATCATTTTGAATGTAATGCAGCGATGCACGGAATACCGGACGGTTCGTTTATCCGGATTTTTTATTACTATTACGTCTAATTGGCAGTGATGATTAAAAACGATGATAAAATACCGTGCTGTGTTGAGCATTTTCTGCAGCGATAAACAACTTTTAAAGGTGATATTAGTGGACTAAGTGTCCGGGTTTCCAGTCTTTACGGTATAGCACTACATTTAACGAAAGAATATCGTATCAACACACTGCTTCTTCTTCTTCTTCGCATTTCAAGCTTATTGCTTAGCGCATATTAGCTTATTGCGTGAACTCAACTTAGTGCACTTCCACAGTTATTAATTGAGAGCTTTCGATGCCAATACCAATGCATGAATTTGTATATTGTGTGGCAAGCACAATGATACTCTATGCCCAGGGAAGTCGAGAAAATTGCCAACCCGAAAGATTCCTTCCGGATCGGATCGGGAATCGAACCCGCCGTCTCCTGCATGGTAATACCGTGCCTTAATTGTCTAGGCTTTGAGGCCCGCAGCGATGCTAGAACTTTAAAAATTATTAATTTGTGTTGTTTCTGGCAAGAACGGAAAAAACGGATTATTTTTAGCAAAATCAGCAATTTTTTTACACTAATTTTTAGGGGAAATCAACTTCTGTACGCTTGATAAATAGGCGCAACTTTCTAAGCAAGCCAATTTTACTGCGGATCCAGAATGAAGTAATTACAGTTGTTATGCACCGCTTAATATTGAATTCCACTACTTCTGCGAGTCGAGTTACGCGAAGTGGCAAAGCGTCAATCTTTCATTCAGGTAGAACCGTAGATATGTTGTACCCATATCAGTAATTTACGGTTGAAAATTAAAAGAGAAATGTGCGAGCGATTTTCTTCTACAAGTTTTGGAAAATCTGTAGTGATTATAAAAATACTTAAAATAAACTTGGTTTACTTCTAGGAATTTTATAAATCCTTGCTTCTGACTACATTACGTCACGCTCAATTTTCGTGTTTTCATAGTCGCCACTCGCAGCAAGATCGCAGAGTTGAAGTCACATGACTCGCAGAATGAGAGGAATTGGCTTGCCGTTAACCAAACAGAATTAAGCTCCAAGTTTTGACAGTTTAACCATTTTTTAAACTATGTTCTGATACAAAACTGCCGACAGACAATGGAGCGTACTTGTATTACATTTGCATTTATTGGCGCTTAGTTCAGTTTGGCATAATGCAAGACCAACTATGGTTGTTATCATCATATAGTATTAATCAATTAGTTTATTTTCAGGTATTCCATAGCTCGTCGAAGAATATGTTCCTGTTTTGCAGATATGAGTGGTTAGCGTTTGATTCGTGTGTACATGAGTTGTTTGTGTTCTTTGAGTGCGTGTGTTATATGCTCTGGAAAAGTATGGTCTACCAGTCTATCGATATTCTACGGCAAAGGTTTGCCAATTAACATTTCTCATCTCTTGCATTGTTGCGCTTATTGCAACAATAGAGTGGGACGCAAAACTCAATGCTCAAGGACTATTTAGGACAGAGCCAATAGGGGTGGCTTGTACAGGAATTTCGTTCACCCAATACCAGCATGCTGATATTTATTTAGTATACGATAAAAGTTGGGATCCTCCTTGTAACTTTAATATGTAACACACTACCTTAATTCATACAGGTACAGGGATGTAAGCAGAACTAATGTTTGGAACTGTTTTTTTAATGTACAGTATCGTAAAGTGCGTCTGCAAAGTGCCTAATTCTGCGCTTTCTGCCAAAATTCAGACATTGTCAGACCTATAATTGTTCTTTGATATGGGTCTGGAAAAAGGGTGCTCAATCCATTCACTGATGGCATTAATTCTAAACTACAACTACCTATAATTTCTAAGTTACAACGAAAAATGTATCTATTTTCGCGGTTTTTATTCGATCCGTATTTTTCATACAAAGAAAAGTAGCCCAATTTTCTGACTATCCTAATATATTTTGTAAAAAAATCAAAAGCATTTCTTTCGCACAATTAATAATTTTGAAATTATCATATTACGGTCTTAATCGGCAGCAACATTTCAAAAGGACGATAATGCTTTTGTAAACAACGGCTTCAACCGTCAATTTCTCACGAAGAAGCTAACCCTCGCAAACCGACAATACCATCTGCAAAGATACCTAATTAACAAGATACCCCAATTATAAATAAACCCCTCGAATTGTACAGTAGAACTACGATGCGATCGCAAGAGTAAAAATGCAATATTTAAGGCAGTTGAAGAAAGTTTGTGTGATATATAGGTTCCCATGTTGTAAGTCACCAGTATCAGTAAGCAAGTCATTAATCTTCAACAACAAATCACCAAAGCCGCCATACCAGTCATCTGTGACTACAGGTGTTTATCTTTCATAGTAGGTACAGTCATCTTTCGCTGGCTGATCTGCCTTTCACTAATTCGGTATGACGTTAGATCTTAAAAGCAATTGTCCGTCAGTGTCTGTTGTGTCAAATCAGCATTTTCTTTGGCTTTTCATTAATACTTGCAAATAATGCTTTAGCGAGTTTTTTTTTATGTTCATGTTTGACAGATTCAAAACCGTCCCAATTATTGTTGAATGGTGGGCGGCTCAACCGCCGCGGGTGATGACTGTAAATATTTTGAAAACGTTTCAAACTTGTAATTTTTATTTTTTAGTTTCTCCAACAATCCCACTGAAGATGTCGAGTCGACTAAGACGGTTCTCATCAGCACACTTCTAGGACTTGGAATAAAATTTCACGATCGAACGAACTGTTCCAGTATCTCCAGCCAATGAGAATGCAACAGATTCATCCCAAAATTATGCTGAGCAAACGCAAAAATGACAGAACCATTCTCACGTTTTAATCAATAATGTCCCTGGAGCTTCACCTGCTGCAAGCAGACGCATGTTGTCCAAGTGAATTATGACACTGTTTGAATTTTTTATGCTGCCCGCTTCGCTTGAGCGTAGGTGTGCGAGCGCGTGTGTTAATTTTTCCTACCGCCGCCGTTCAATGTTATTCCGTAATTAATAATAATGGTGCTGTTATGTGAATCCGAAATAGGCTTAATCACCCATATTCTCGTTCGAACGAAAACGAGAATATGGATGAATATCTTCGTTACCAGTTGGTGTTGTTTGTTTACGTAGGTAAACTCCAGGAAATCGTCAATTATTGAACAAATTGTTTGTAAAATATTTTTGACGTTATTTGATTGTTGATGCTGTATTCATACAAATCGTCCAATTCACTTGATGAGGAACACTACCGAATATAAATGGGATGCCGAAAATACTAGTCCTAGTGTGCGAACTTTTAGGAGCTCTTTATAAAATGCTTTGTTTCTACCGATTTTGCTAAATATGATGCTAGAGAGTAGATCGGATAACTATAGGAACTTGCTGTTAAAAAAACGAAGAGATACGCTGTTATTTTATGTAAATGATCGCTGTATTAGTTAGGGCACTACTTATAACATTGTTCCAGTTTTATGGCATATGGGATTCTAATGGAGTGGTATCCTGCAACCATTTTCTTTATATATAATAAGCCAGTAGTGGTGACTTTGTCCATAACTGATACTTATACTTACTTTTTATCCTGGAGATAGGTGGAAGCATGGTATTCTTCACTTATAGGACCTAAAAGTTAGAACTGATTTCCTTTTTTAAATTTTGCATCATGATTGACTGGTCTGTTGGGGCGTAAATACTTTAACCCGTCTTCTTTCCATGGTAGTACAGGTGATCCACAACTTTTCGGTGCGTCTCATGTTTGACAATCTACCATTGCATAGTCAGTACTTATTTAAGCTTCTACGTGTGCTTTTTATTCTGGGCCATCCGTATTCTTGAGAATTCAACTGAGCAACTATTGAAATAACAATTGAAATACTATTGATTTTAAACATAAACTTTTTTCGATTGATTCAAGAATTTTAAACTGTATGGATTATTTTTTATTCTAGCACTATTTAAAAAAAACACATTTTTGCATATCAAAACAACGAAAAACCTTCTGGGAATGGCTAAAAACCTTTGCTAAATGCTACCAAAATCGGACATACGCTGCTCCAATATTGTTCTTACGCGCAAGGAATCTAACATCTGATAAGTACAAAAAGCATTTTACATATAACTGTTTTCAGTGTGCCCAAGATATGAGCTATGTGGAGTGATCTTTCTAGACCTTTAATGATTCTACAGAGAGTTTTACAAAACCGCACTTTTCGAACTAAGTCGAAAGCAGTGAACACATTTTAACACGAACGGATATGGATCATCACATCCTGAAACTGAAGTATTTTCTGTGGCGAACACTAGCACATTTGGAGGTAGAGAGTAAACTTTCGCTACCAGCAGCATGCTTTGATGGTGCGAGTGTGTGCGCGTATAGAAGCCGCAAGGTACAGATTTGCACAAACAACGTTTGTTTTTACATAATCATCCAGCGTGAAGAAAAAAATGAGAATCTTATGAATTAGCGTAGCGCGGAGAACGAAACAAGGCCTACATTCGTTTAGTGAGGCGATCAAATAATTGATTGTAGAATTTTGACGCACGTTTTCTCAACTCTCACGTGATTCCCGACGATAAGAATGTTGGTGATCTACATACGATAGATGGAAGTTTTTTGTTTTCCAAACATTGCAACTGTAAAAGATCCCGGACAAGATCCGATAACAGAAACCAATAATGTTTCAACAATGATTCTACCTAGCCAAAAGGAAATTTATAAAAGCAGCGTGTCCAATCACTGATCTCAACGAGAGAAAAAAGATAGGGCGACAGAAATTCGACAATACCGTTTAATAGCACATATTCAAACAGCGTCTTACTCCGGTCCGGAAGCGTATCGTACTGAGGTGGGAATAACTCGGTTTCGTTGGTCGTCCCCCAGACAGCGTCGATTGATCATAAGAAGGGAAGCTAGTTCGTTTTGTGTTTCAGCTGCCAACAGTGCCAATCAATGCTTCTACTATGTGTGTGTGTATACCTGAGCGAATCTTCTGCCACTTAATGTGGATTGGATATCAACACTGTGTTATCTTGTATAACTCTACCAAAGAACGGAACCACCTTACCATTAGCTAAATGGAATCTGCATACCGTGTACCGAAAAGCGGGTACAAATGGTTGAAGTGAAGAACATTCAATTTGCCGAGTCTCGTTCCGTCAACAAACCAATAGGTAATTTATTCGTTAGTTTACTATTTGATATACTTACTATCATCACTATACCGTTCCTTTTATCTATATAATACAAATGTTCGACAACGAATTTGCCTGATCAATTGGCGATTGTGCTGAAAAGATTATTCTTACATGCTGGTTACACTATCATGATTATAATTGTTTCGACAATATATTTGAAGAACGAATCAAATGATCTATCGAAACTGTATGGTGTAATGCATGCACCACCAATGTCTGCTGATTTTCTGTCGGTAATGAAAATTGTGACCCGTTATTAGGAGTGATTACTCACCAGATTTGCAATGAATTTTTAAAGTTTGAGAGACAATTCATTTTTGTAAGAAATCGTTTTATTTTTTCGTTTTTGTATGTTTTTGTTAAGAGCAGTAACTTTTTGCAACATATCTCATTGGCAGTTTAATCAAATTTCATCGATAATATATCACGTCTTCGAATGCAATTGTGTACTTGTTATGTTTTTTAAGACTTCATTTTTATTGTATTTACCTGTATCATTTCATTATGTTCTACTTTGAAAACCTATACAAAATTTGACGTCCCTCTTTTGTTTGTTTTACAATTGCCTCATATTCAACGGTATTTCGTAAAAATATCTAAAGCAATTCTCCCCAGAGCAATTTTTTCCGATCTGAACTCGATTTCGATTGATCTTATTGTGAAATCATTGACGAATTTATAAATCAGCCTCTCTGTCCCAGCAAAAATTCACATGATAAATTTTACGCAAAAAAACGATTTCAATTCTATAGGCGCATTATAGCATCTTTGTTTTTATCTCGTACATGATACCTTAGCTCCTTATATCTGTCTGTGAAACGAATGTGTCTCAATTTTGGAAGTTGGTGCACCAACTGTTCCATTCTATGTATTTCTCATCTCAAAACCCACCATATTTTGTTTGACCCCGCTAAGGTTATCAACCAAGTTCTGTGACCCAAAGAAACTGCTATAATGTCGCTCCGTTATCTTGTGCGCAAAAAAAATAACAAATCTTCTCAAGGCTAGGCAAATCATGTGAATTCTGTTTTCGTTGTAGTTCCATGCATTACTACTTGCACAACCACCATCACTTAGAGATACAATTACAGCTGAATGTGTATCCGTAGATTAGGCTACTAAAATATAGGCGAATAAAAATAAAGAATCTGAAAATTAAGAGATCGCAAACTGAACGAATCGTTTAGTGAGATAACAGGAACACTTTGTAATCGGCATTATCGATTCGTTGCAGGAGGCTGCTCTGGACGGACTGCTACGGAATCTGTTCCCCAGGAATCCCAGAAATCCCAGAAAGGTAACTATTTTCATTCTAAAATCTGTCCATCTGCCGTTTTTCATACAAAATAACCAACATTTCTCCATTATTTGTGAGCCGAAAATCAACTAACCCGGTCCATGAATAACAAAGGTACCCCATTTTGTATGCAAAACGGTCTGTGGACTTCAACTACAGACGCGAGAACTACCCATACAATGATGATAATAATTACCGTTTGAGAACTTATGATAGTAAACACTTTGGCTGCAAGTAAACTTCGGTTTATTTGTCTGATTTAGTCCGATTAACTGAACAATAAAGTTCGTCGCTTCCAATAATCGTTAACTAATGTCGTTTTTTTTCTCTTTTGTTACCCTGAATAGGTTTTCTGAAAGCGTGGTAAACGGGCGAAAGTCCCTCAAAGTACCAATAAACCCTCTGAAGCTGCTGCTGTAACTACCTCAACGTAACAAAACAACAAATCTAAAACTTATTTATTAGCTGTTAGTTGGTAGACGGGAGAGAGAGGCACACTGCACTGGCGGCAATACAGCAGGGGGAAGACAGTTTCTGTGACGGTGGAGTGGCAGGAGTCGTGAAAGATGTCACGCCCTCTGACGTGCTGCTGGCTGGCAGTGCCAAATTTCGAAGGTAAATAGGAACAGATTTTCTTTGTATGTGTGTGTAAACCCAGTCTTCCTTGTTTTTTTTTTTTCCTTTTTAATGATGATAGTTATGGTCCGTGTTTATGAACTTCTTTGATTATTGCTTCAAACCACTTCTGATTCGACATTTTCGTCCTTACAATGGTTTTTAACGTATAATAAGTGTTTACAATCAGGTTATTTTTTTTTGTTTTCCAGGATTTCCATTATATCGCTGCGTTAAGGTTTCGGAATAACATGTTTAATATTGGTAAGTTGTGTTAATTTAATAATAAAAACTAGGTAGGGGGAGGAGGGGCATAGTGAGCATCCCGCAGTTTGGTCCTGGATCTCTAGCTGCATGAAACAAATCAACTGGTAGTAGGTTCAATATCATTATGATATTGATCCTACTACCAACCAATTTGTTCCGAACGGCCGGAAGTCCAAGCTGATGCACGGGATGGTCACTATGCCCCACCTGTTCACTATGCCCCTCTTACCCCTATAAACTAAAATTTACTTGATGATAATAATTACCGTTTGATAATGCGCTGATAATAACAACTCGGCTGCAAATAAACTTCGGTTTATTTGTCTGAAAATTTGCTTGAGTTAATGCTTCTCGAATAGAATATGATCGTTAATTTTTTTTTAATTTCAATCTCAATTTCTGCAACTTAACGTGACGAAAGAGTTCAAGTTAAGAGTGATATTCTATGCCTTGATATTGAATATCACTGTGGCTTAAATTTGTTGGTAGTTACTATGAATTCTTTAAAAAAAAACATTCTGATGAAAGCATTGACTTACCGTACGCCGTAGTTTATACAAAAACCTATAAATATTCTCAAGTTCTAAACATCACAATTTTATTTTCCTATCATTAGCAAAACAATACCTACTTTTGGATGCCAGACGTCGACACATGAGGATAATAGAAAGAGGTAAGACAAATAAGTAAATGACCAGTAAGGCTATTTAATTTACTTTGATGAAAATAATTGGTCCGTGTTGATGAATTTCGTTGATTATAGTTTTCTCCAATTACTGACAGTGTTCTTGTGATAAAACATTGTCGTCAATTCTGTTACCCCGTGGTATTACAATCGAAGTATGTTTACTTTATTTACAGGATTTTCGTAGAATCTTCCCGACAGAATCTCCCAGAAGCATCGAGTAAATGTCGGTAAGTTTCGTTATCTGCCTCTCGTTCAATTAAAATAGGGTGGATGTTCAAGTTATAGTGGAGTTCCTCGGGTTAGTTCCACTATTACTGGCTCAACCTATCCTACAATGTAAGACTAAATTGATGATAACAATTACCGTTTGAAAATGGCTGATAATAACAATTTGGCTGCAAATGAACTTAGGTTGATTTGTCTGACAGTCTCTAAAATTAATGGTTCTAGGGTAGATTTTTGTTCGTAGTATTTTGCTAATTAAATATAAATCGGCGAGTAAATTCATATCCGGTGAATGAGAACGACCCAAATTTGAGTTTAATTTACTTATAAATCACATACAGTGCAGGAACTCAGCGCTGAGTCAATTTTTGCTTCATGTTTTCCAGGTTTGTCCAGGAAAAATATCCCGATTATGAGAAAAGTAAAGATTGGATTCACTCAGTCCATTGGTACTTCTCCTTGACTGAGTAAATGTTTCGTCAATTTTCCTCATTTTTGGCAGATTTTGGAGGTGTTCTACAGGAAAGCAATAGGTAAATTTACACTTTCTTATGAGGATACTAAACTCAAATATAGGTCGTTTTACATTCGCCGTGTAGGATTTTACGGTTCTGACAGTAATACATATGCAATTTTTATGCAACATGCAGTTGGAGAAGACTCAGCTTCCATTAGGGGTCATCCATAAATTATGTAAAGGTTTTTGAACGATTATTTTAACTACCCTCCTCTTTGCAAGACATTGTAAGATTAAATAACAAACCCCTCGTCTCTCTCCCTCCTCAAATATTAGTATCATTAAAAAATTACCAAAAAATCGTTATATTTTAAGTTAAGTACAATTTTTTCTGCATTGATCACTTATTAATTTGCTCATTTAATGTATGTTCAGGTTTTTTTTGCATAAAAACTGTTGAGATCATTATTTTCTTCTAACTATTAGATCTTCTGTTGTCAATGTCAGAAAATGTCAACCCCCCTCTTCTTCTTCATTGTAAGCAAGTGTAATAAATGTTGAGACCCCCTGTCCCTCTATTTCCATCCACAATTTGTGGATGACATCTTGTGGTGGTAAGCTCCAACCGGTATATTCCGGCAGATCCAAACATTTAGCAGATCATCCAAACAGGGGCGGCATTAAAAGTTAATCCGAGTTGGAGTTTACCGTCATTAGTGTGCATATTAAGCATAATTGTCCTTTTCATTTCTTTTCTTCTATATGGATGATACCTCCGAATTGCACCAAAATAATGTGTATTTTAATCCTTCGTAGTAGTTTTTTGATTTTTAAATATCAATTTCTTAAGCGCTTGAGCTTCACCATTCGACAGAACCATTGATTTTTAGACATTTGCTCTTCCCAAGCCTAATAGTTTATCCAATAAATAATCTTGGATCTAACATCTATTTCTCTTTCTGCCTTTTCAACATTAGCAAATCATGCCTACCGTAAGGAACCGGAGGTCGAGAAAAGAATCCTAATGGTAAGAAAAAAAAGTCGATTTCGTTTAGTCTATGCGTAACTAAAAATAGTTTTCAATTTTATATGATGAAATTAATTGGTCCGTGTTGATGAATTTAGTTGATTATAAGTTTTACTCCAATTACTGATAATTCCATGCAGTCTTCAACCTATGGATCTTGCGTTTCATGAAATGTTAATTAGTTTTTTTTCCTTCCTTACAGCTCCTCGAGAGGTCCTCTCAGGTACGATCGTGAACATGCTTTCAAAGGTACGATCGTTTTCTTCATTTTCAGTAAAACAGCAATATTCATGCGAAGGTTCTTTTCGAATGATGATAATAATTACCGTTTGAGTTTTAGTATGATAGTAACCCTCGGCTGCAAGTAAACTTCGGTTTATTTGTCTGACATCGAAAAGAACTTCTAAAGAAAAACACAAGTTTCAGCTGAGCTATGGATCAGCGTTGAATATTGGTTATCTGGTTAATGTTTGAATTTCTTATATATTTACAGGTTCTTGAAACAGGATAAACGACCGAACTGTATGGGCTCCGAAGCGACGAAGGTAGGAATTACTTTTATTTTACTACTTAACATGTCTCCGTGATTAGCTTTAAAAATAAAACTTGTTTGAAAACGTAGTTGATTACCGAACTCTTTTTGTTCAGAAATAAAATTCAATCACCTAATTCGTTTCATTTTCCGTCTATTTTTCTAGTTGTTTAACAGTGTGGAGAAAACTTCATACGGTGGGTAAATTTAACCAGTTTTCCGAATATTAAAGTTTAACCACCTGTCTGTCCTGTCGTTCTCTTCACATGATGATATTTCTTTTAATTGATGTCTTCTTTTCCCGGCTGATACATGTTGGTGATGGATAAAAACAATCTCTGAAACCTTTCAACACCCTCTCCTTAAATCTTTTTCCTTCAGTCCAATTCCACCAGATACTAATGTTTCTTCTATTTCTATTGTTACAGGTCTCACTCGGCGCTAAATGGAATTCCACACGCAACAGAGAGTACAAACACATTTTACTTGTAAAAAAATGGATTTTATTTACACATTTTATAAAAATGAATAAAATTAACACATGAGCAAGAAAACAACTTCCTTTCTTTGAAAGAAACTTCCAATTTACATACCGATAAATGAGATTAAGAGAGTGTGGGAGGGGAGGGAAGCTTATCAAAGACTAACATTAAGATTATGTGGGAGAGGAAGTACGCTGTTCATGCAGCCAATTTGGAAGATCCCCCACTGGAGGTATTGGGCCTTTTAGTCAGGTCCGTGCGCGGTCGTCTGAACAGCAGGATGTGGGGTTCCGGAGCGTGCATCTGTAAAACAATTTCTATTACCAACTCGAATTCACCACTTACGATCGGATTGAACTCACCATATACATCACCCAGCCGGGTGACTGCTGAACGCCCAGGTTACGCCACTCGGTTTCAGTCATCAGGTGCGATTTGGGTACGTTTCGAGCAAGCTCAGGCGGAAGGATAACGTGCCGGTATTCGTACACGTCGTCGTAGTACTTCTCCGAGTATTGAATCTGATCGGACGGCATGCTCCAATGCAGTATGTACTAGTAAACACAATTTAGGGTATTTTTCGAACGGAAAATGTCGAAATTCGGAACGAAAAGCTGGGTTATTTTTCCTTGTTTATGAAAGCAACGCGCGTTTGATCGATTTTTGACGTTTTGTTTTGTAGCCCTGTGGCTGAAATTGTTCGACTCTTCTCGTGATAATGTCGATAAAGAAGAACATACACAGTGTCGATGGTCTGCTGTTTGCATACATGCGGGCAGTTAAGTTGATGTTTGAATGGTCGGTTGGCTGTAGGCAACAATGCCACAGTAAACTATATGAGGTAGATGTACCAGTCATGGCTATACGTTTCTTTTATAGTACGTTCAAATGATAGCTTATGTGTTTCGTTTACGTGCTTCCTTTTCGGCAACAAAAGCTTCCGATTTTTGCGACACAAAAACAAGTTAGGAACATTTGTAATTCATGACATTCACATGACACTCGTCAACGCATCATCCCAGCCTCAGTCGGCGCCGCCGGGATGTTCTGAGGCATACACGGAACAGAAAAATTACCCAAAATTCAACGTTCAACGACAAACATCATGCATCAATGACTGGTCGTGGCAAGGGAGGCAAAAGTCTTGGAAAAGGAGGCGCCAAGCGTCATCGGAAGTTCTGTGTGATAACATCCAGGGCCTGCCATCCGTCGTCTGGCTCGACGTGGTGGTGTCAAGCGTGTCTCCTGTCTGATCTACGAGGAAACCCGAGGTGTGTTAAAGGTGTTCCTAGAAAATATGATCCGTGATGCCGTCACCTACACTGAACACGCCAAGCGCAAAACCGTCACGGCCATGGATGTCGTCTACGCTCTGAAGCGACAGGGACGCACGCACTCAGTACGGTTTCGGAGGTTAAAACTTATTACCAACGTATCAAAACGGCCCTTTTCAGGGCCACCAAGTTCAATTCAGAAAAAAAGTTAGAATAGAATTTATATGGAATAACTCATGATTCACCCATTCAATTTGTCACTAAATTGATGTATATTGATGATACAAAAATCAAATAATTTGTTAGGGAAATAAATTATGTTCTATTTGTAGTCTTATCGGTGGGTTAAATTTATTCCGTTTAACTTTCATAAACTGAGAAACCCTCATCGTATGCATTTTCCTGCTGCGCGACATCTTCGAAAACGTCCGAACCGTTAAATAATACAGAGTACAGAGAGTACAGACTAGAAAATCGAACAAAAATTTCGTAGTCCTACGTCAACAATGCGGTCGTGTCTTGTACACCACCCTCCAACTTTTTTTTTATGATGCGCACCGGTTCATTAGCGAAAAAAAAAATACACAAAAACTTCAATCGTGTGTACACTCGAAAATTCTATTTTATATACGTCATAGTTTTCTACTACATAGCTACACAGAAACAAAATCCATTGGCAAAAATACTATATTGATGGTTTAAATTAAATACTCCCACCAATAGATTTGTGCAGAAACGAAATTCATTTAATTTTACTAATTTTTCTATCAAAACTACTATACCGTTTGAGTAACCATAGTAGTTTTGACAGAATTATAGTAAATTTGAATATATTTATAGTAAACTATACTGAAATCATGGTAGATTTAACGGTATTAAGCGTAGTTATACTGAAAATAAGTGTTTTCTGCAAAATAGTATTCCTAACTATTCTCTTTGTTTCAGTGTACTGTTACGTTAGTTCATATTTTTTGAAAATGGTTTCCCAAATCTTATAGAACTATGATATAGAAATCCAAATCGGCTATGTCATAGAGAACTATAACATAAATATCATGCGCCGTGTGGCGGCACCTTAAGATGTCCATGAGTGGTTTCTAAAACAAACAAAAAACCCAGAGACGAACCAGCCCAAGGCTAAAAGTCTCTTTAATAAAGAAAAAAAAAAAAACAAAAAAACAAAAAAAAAGCGCCGCGCACAGACTGCTATCAAAAAACTATGACCAATAAACTATGAACTATTCCGGCTTGATGGAAAAGTATATAGCTTGCAACTATGATATAGAAACTATCGCTAGAGTGTACACATGACAATGAATTCGGCTCTATGTCATAGCTCTAAACTATAACTTGCAAGTCATAGCTAGAGTCGGTGTATAATGAGTCACGCCAAGAGTGAAGCCAAGTCTACCTATTGAACCGTCAAAGCGGCTACCTATCGTGCAAAGTAAATAAACATTACGATGCTATGAAAGGTTCACGAAAGGTATTGCAATAAAATATAAAATATAATCGAAGAAATGAGCATAAACACGCAGTGAGCGTTAAATTGTCATGGGATACGCTCGGTAATGATTAGTAATGAGAATTTCTACTATTTTTTGTTAAGATAATTCGACAAAATCACTGATATAATGATTTACTACAGCCGCAGTATTTTTTCTCTCGCTAGAAGTCATTTGAAGTTGTTGTAGAAGTCCTCTGTTGCCAAGTGAAAAGAATTGGAATCTTTCGAAAACCGTGATGCGAGTTCAACTGTTTTCTCTTGGCGTGACTCATTATACACCGACTCTAGTCATAGCTATGAGCTATCACGTCATAGTTTAGGTGTTCCCATGGGCTATAATATAGTTTTCTATCACATAGCTCGCTATATACTAGAAATAGCCTCCGTGTTGCGGTGAGATGGGAAATGACAGGTGGGCAGGAACTCACGGTCTCCCAGTGTTGGTGAGCTCTTTGCCGTTAATGTTCACGAAAAGTTCACTTTTTTGCCATACAGAAATTCAAAAAATTTTATCTGCGGATTTGGACAGCTTTTGACCTGTTTCATACGACCGGAAGGTGTATGCTGGTCACAAATGCCGCGCCAAACTGATTTCCTACGCAATTAATCAATCTTTGATGTGAATTTCACTAATAAACACGAGGAGCATTTCTTGTAGCAGAACTTGCGATAACAAAATGGGCATAGTTCATTTTAGTAAACAAACTAATACTTCTTCCAACTGTGTCACCTCTCTTACTCGCCTAGGTGTGGCGGCACCTTTAGAAATAGCCTCCGTGTGGCGGCACCTTTATACCCCGTACAGACTATATCATGTAATATAGGATGTCTTGCAATGAGCACTCATACATAAGATTTCCAGAGAAAACTAGATGTATGAGTGCTCATTGCAAGACAGCCTATATTACATGATATAAGCCATAGTCTGTACGGGGTATTATATCATGTAATATACGCCGTCTTGCAATGAGCACTCATACATAGGATTTCTAGTGAAAACTAGATGTATGAGTGCTCATTGCGAGACAGCCTATATAGACTTCTCTGACGTTTGTGAAATGCACAAGTATTAGTGCAGTGCTTTGGGTAAATTGTAAGTATTAGTGGAAGAAAACCTTTGAATTTACCCAAAGTTCTGCACTAATGCTTTTGCAATTCACAAACGTCAGAGAAGTCTCACTATGTTTCGTGAAAACCCATTAATGGGTAAAAAATACTCATTTTCAAACCATGTATGCAGCTGTCTAAAAATGGGGGAATTTTGAAATCATAAAATTGGTGAAAAAATACCCATTTAAAGAATCAGTTCACGGTTGAATAATGGGTATATTTTTTACCCAAAAATGGGTGAAAAAACACTTCGAAATTTCATCGTCTCATTTCCATCACCGATTAATTGGGAATGCAAACAGTTACTGTCCGCCGAGCTGTCCGCAGCATATTTAGCGAAAATAGACGATGTTAGAATCCGAAACTTTGGAGAGGCTTACGGATAAGTCAATACAAATTATCCAATATGGTATTACCATAGTTCGTGTAAAATTTGAGCGGAACACCTGCATTTATTTTCAATGTATTCGAAAGTTTTTTATTTCAACGAGGACAAATAACCAAGCGCTTGCATCCACCATTTGTAAAAATGGGTATTTTTTCACCCATTTTACGGTAAACACAATTTAATAAAATGGGTGAAAAACACCCATTTTTTTCCTTTATTAACGAGACTTTCAGCCTTATACCCCGGACAGACTATGGCTTATATCATGTAATATAGGCTGTCTTCCAATGAGCACTCATACATCTAGTTTTCACTGGAAATCCTATGTATGAGTGCTCATTGCAAGACAGCCTATATTACATGATATAAGCCATAGTCTGTCCGGGGTATTAGGCTGGTTCATCTCTAATACCCCGTTCACATTACAGCGTATATCACGTAATATAGGCTGTCTTGCAATGAGCACTCATACATAGGATTTCCTGTGAAAACTAGATGTATGAGTGCTCATTGCAAGACAGCGTATATTACGTGATATACGCTGTAATGTGAACGGGGTATAACACCCATTTATTGACAGACCCAGTGCTGCAAAATCTCGACAATGCACTGTGATAGTGACAATTCCGCTTTGGTCACTCATTTGAGGTAAGAGTCACAGTCAAGGCAAACCATGTAAATTTTGAGTGACAATTCTGTCAGTGACGAACATGTACATATTTTTTTATTAGTTAAATTTGTAACGAAATTAAATGACTTGAGCAACACAATTACATGGAGCCGTGAATGTGAACAACCATCTACGTCCTGAACTGCTTGGATTACAATAATGTGTCACAGAATATACGAAATTACACTTTTTGTTACCAGGTGATTCCTTGTCATTGACGAAAAAATGAATGAGATTTTGACGAAGGTTTTTTCGAGGATCAAGTCTGTCATTGACTATGTGACGAACAATTTGGTCAATATCGCGCGAAAGTCTGTCAATGACAATGACAATTCTCAGCACTGGACAGACCACCTATTTACCCATTTATGAGTAAACCACACAAAACCAGACAAGCAGACATAACACTCGCAAGTTGTTCATCGAACATGCATTTAACGGTCAATTTTAAAGTATCATAGGCAGGTGGCGGTACTACCAGCTATGGACCTGTGGCGCGCATAGTCAATTCCCTTGCGTTTGATTTTTACACACTACCGCCATCTGTTCAACGTACTACCCACCACAGTGTACTTATTTATTTATTTATTTATTTCGTCAACCAACGTAGACTAGTACAACCTAGTACAACTAATACAGTTTTGTTTTCTTAAATATACATTTATATAAAA